TTCAGTGATTATTTTTTTTAAATATATTTTTTTAAGTCATCCACACATTTGTCTTGCCTTAAACTCTTAACATTTCTTCCTCTGCATGTACTTTTGTTTCTGGTATGTTTTATGTTTCTATACAAAGCTGTAAGTATTTCCCACATGTTCGTATTTTAAACTGAAGTACACATTAAAACAATTTTGCGTAGCACTTTTGTGGCTGTTTATAGAGTAGTTCCAACACTGTTTCCCTTTACAATACTGGCATCTTCATTGGAATCTTCTAGAAGTGGCCAAACTTCTGTTCTTTGCTGTCATACCAACTGCACCACTGTTTTCATCACTTTTTTAGAGCTCATGAGAACAATCAGAAGACTGTGTCAGATGTTGTAGTTAATGTTCATTTTATACTGGCCATAGGAGGAGAGACCATGTACTGTTGTTAAATAGCTTGTGCATGTAAATTGAGTATGTTTTGTTGCTATATATCAAACTATTGTACTGCAACCAGTGCTCTTATTGAGAAATAATGCACTAAAATATCTTCAAAGAAATTAATCATGTATCATCTTGTTAAACTCTTTAGCTGACCACAAAAATATGGAGGGCAAGTGACACATGGTAAGAAATCTTGGGTGTTTAAGGCTGTTGTCTGATCTTGTACTCAAGAAGGTGACTTCAGGGGTTTTAGTATTTGACAAACGTGAACATGTGATTGGAGAGGAATAGTGGCTCTACTGGAGGCTGAGAGAAAGTGCTTGTTGGGGCCAAGCTGCCACCCTGAGTACAGCAGGGCTCGCTTGCTTTGCCTACAGGATCCACTCTGGCGTGGATGAGGTACTGCTTCGCGTGCAATGGAAGATCTGTGCCTGATCTGTACCCTGTCTCCTCACAAGGAGGGTGTTTTTTTTCCTGGGGTATATGGATGTAAGTAATCCCTGATGCTCCCATCACACTTTTTAAAACACTTAACTGAGAAGACAGAGCACTAGCAAAACACTCCTCTTTGTTTTCTGTTGTCTTCTCTGTCCTTGATAAGAGTAAGAATAAACGCTATAGGCTTATTCAGAGACTTCAGTATTGCTCCATTTTTTTTAATTCTATCAGTTTGTCCTGTGTTAACAGGAATACTTCATGTTAAAGGGCTGGTAGACCTGAAATTGTGTTTATTTTAAAATGGTGTCTTTTATTGTAACTTAAGATATAAATGTATTTTTGACTGTATGCTATCTCTAGGGACAAAGAACATGTATCAGATAGTGTGTTTACCCACATCTTCTCACCAATGTTTTCTCATTCATGTACTTTTACATAAATTATTTGAATTCGACAACATATTTTGTATTGTCTTTAATTAAATTGTCCAACTTTCTGTAAACTTTTGTACTACGGCAAAGCTGTTCTGTGTTTCTTTATTAGACCAGATGCTGGAGGGGAAATGTTAATAATATCCTGTGGGTATTCAGTCTCAGTTAACAAAACAGGAATTTATTAAGTTATAAGCAGGTGGTCCTTTGTCACTGTCATAGGAGATACCACCATGGAGTGGTACTTGTGTCTCTTCATGCTTGAAAGAGTGATTTAAACAATTAAAATGTTTGCATGGTAAATTGGTGATGTTTGTGATTTAATATTATTCAGAAGTCCACTTGCATTTGAACTTCTGGAATTAAATGAGTTTTTGTATGCAAACTAAGCCTTTTTGAACTTTCCAGGACTTTGGAGCTCTTCACTTTTTTTCACTCCTTTTGTGGATGTCTGTTCTGTGAGTAAAACACCTGTACTGGAAGAAGGATCTCATCTCATTTTGACAACCTGTATAGATTGGCTGTTGTTTTACTCTGTTCTGATTGCATTCTGTAGTAGAACTCTTCATTAATGTTGTTCAGAGAGTCTATCGCACTTCTAGCCAACATGTTTCCCTTTTCTCTGATGTTTTACGTGGTTTCGTAACAAGCTGATGGAGCAGCAATATATAAACTGAAGATGTTAATAAAGCACTGAGGAATTGTCATCCTGCTCTGAGGGTCTTATGCCTCTGGAATTTTTTTTAACCTAAAATATTAAGAAAATGGCTAGGGATACTTCAGGTTGCAGTTAGTGCTCTCGTAATCAAGTTCCTGTTTTAAAGTCTTTAGGTTTTTTTTAAGGCTTTTACCCTTATCTCAGTATTCAGGACCCTTAGCATCTAGAGTGTTGCTTCAAAATAGTACTGGGGTGGTGGGACAGAGTTTTGGGCAAGCTTGGAATTTAAAAGGAAGCCAAGATAGATGCAGAAGGTTTTGTTTTGTTTTGGAAGACTACCTTTCCCCAATGAAAACAAACCTCACCCTCTAGAGAGACCTGTGAGCTGCTTCTGCTTGCTCCTCCAGGAGACTGGTCACTAGCATTTGAGCAGGGCAGTCTTTGAGCCTCAGGTGTGTAATTCAGAATAGTGGCTTTGGGTAGCGACAGGGAGCATGGAGTGCTGATGTAGTAGCTCTCCTCTAAGTAGATGATGCCAAGATAAGACCTCTTGTAGCAGCACGAAGAGAACTGGCAGGAAACCGTTCGAGTTTAACAGTTTTCACCTTAGTAGTGAATTTAAGCAACCTGCTTAAATACTGATGCAGCTATGAATGCCACCGTGCATTCTCACGAGTTGCTCCTTCTGTTCTGTCTTTGGTCTGCGGTGGTTGTTAGAATAATCTGCCACAGTGATGTGATTTTCTTGTGTGTGTGACTTGTACCAAGTCATGTGTGTATAGGTAATGCTGAAGACAGCTGGAAGTGAAGTGTGGCAATACTACCTGTTTACCTGTATGTGATATCTTTAATGCAGCAGATGCATCGAAGCAAAAGAGGAAATATGTGCACTGGATTGAAGATTTGACCCAGCTGAGTAACCTAACGCAGTTTGTACGCCTTTATTCGTGAGCCATATGGCTGTGAAGATCAGTCACAACAGCCTTTGTGATGACACATGCTTAATGCATGCTCAGCAGATAACCCCTGCTCACTGACTTGTCTTCTCTGGATGAATCTGGCTGTAGGAGTTGGAAGGAGTGAACATCTTGGGTTAGAGTCTGGTACTGCTCACTGACTCCAGTCCTAGCAAGAATAACTATTACTCAAATTGTTTTGTGCTGCCTTGACCTAAATTGGCTTGTCAGTATTTGTATTACTTTTCTGAACCACAGCATATATCTTCAGGGATGACCTGCGCATCTAGGAATGGGTGGATGTCAGACTCTCTGAGTTTCTAGTACTATCAAGAGGATTTTTTTCTTGTTGAAACTCCAAATTGTCATCTTAACATTTTGGTTTGGCCCAGGCTGGTTCTGAATTTTACTGTGGCAGAGCTGGACTGAAGAAAGGCTTCCAAAGATAAAAGTATCAGGTATGGCTCAGCTTGCTGGGGGCAGAGCCTTATGAAGGCTTTAATTTATATTGGATGTTTGGCTACTTTGATAGATGGAAGTTCCCACACTATCAGGTAGCGTCTTCCTTTGATGGCAAGTGCATGATCTGAAAAGAAAGGTCATGTTTCCTCTCTAGGCTCTCCAGTCCTTCTCATGGTAATATCATTAATAGTAGTGTTTTAGGAGTCTGTCCTTTCTGGCCAAAATGGATGCCTCCATACTAAGGTACAGCATTCAGCCAAACCTGTGTGCCTGTGACCATAATAACACCTGACAGTCCGTACTGCTCTGTGTCCTTGAGCTCACGGCTATAGAGTTGCCCTAAAGACTTTTCATTGTGTTCTCCCAGGCTTGCATAGCAAAGGTCCTCTAGATGATAACATAG